GCAGGGAGAGTGGCGCCCGAGAGAAGCGGGCCAAAAAACCCCCTTCCAACGGCTGAGCCACTTGGCCTGGGACAGAGCCTCGTCTTTGCCACGCTGCTGCCGCCGTAAAGCCCCCCCTGCCCAAGGCACAGGAGGGGAGGGAGCCTCACCTCTCGTCGGGCGCTGTGAGCGAGCTGAACGGAGGGAGGGAAACCACTGCCCTCTAAAGGCCACATCGGAAATGACACTTCAGAGAAATAAACACTTTTTTTTAATGGTGTCCTTTTTAAAATTGATGATTTGGCGTCTTTTCTTTCTTTTGGAAAATCGGGACTTTTTGAACATGCCGCGGGACATGGGACAAATTTTGAAAAATCGTGACTGTCCCGCCAAAAGTGGGACGTCTGGTCACCTTATGCAATCCACTTTTGCCTTTCTTTTACTCTCTTCTCTCTTCCAAGCAAAAAACTGCCGGAGGAGAAACAGCTATGTTTTACTGCAAGGTAAAGACTGCATGGAATTAAGCTTCTCATTTGTGCCTGATGTTCCAGGTTGCCTGTTTCTAAGTCACTGTTTCTGGCTGACAGATGGAAGGAAGTGCTCAGTTGGGAGACCAGTGATGGAGCATCTCTGCAGCTGGATAACCTTACACAGAGCAATCCTTTGGTCAGCATTGATTGGTGTTGTTTTCATTGACTTGAAATATTTCTTCAAGGTCCCTCTTAGAGATCTTTCCCATTTTCTTGCACTTTTGGTTCCTTTTTAATTGGTGAATCCAGGAACTGAATCTGGAACCTTCTGCACAAAAGCATAGCTTTATCAGTGAGCTATGGGAGCAAATTAGACGAGAGTAATGTGGTAGCTGCATTCATATTGATGATGGATGAGCTAGCAGTTCTCATAATTACTGAGGAAGCGGCAATGAGGTGCTTGGGGAAATTGCTGCAAAGGGGACTTTCAGAGTTATTATTCCTGAGAAACAGTTGTGGAATATTATACTTCAGTGTTAGTCATGATAAACAAGGAGAAATAATGGAGCATTATAGGCTATTCCAACCTTTGCCAATCTGGCCTTTTCCAGATGTTGTTGGGGCTACAGTTCCCAGATTCCTACTTTAGTGGCGAAGCCAAGAACTCTAGAAGTAGCCCTGCCTACAAATTTCATGCACAAGTTTCGAAAAGCACATTTGTTTATCCTGTTGTATCACTTTTACATATTTCGGGAGTGATGGCATTCCCAAATGCCATCACTCTGCTAAACAACTAATACCCACAACACTATCATATTACCTACTAAGACTGTATTACTATTATTCTTCTCTTTCTTCCTAGTACCTATCTCTCCCCACTTATGACTATAACCTTGTTGTTTGTATTTTTAAATTTTATATTGTTTTATTTGTTTCCTAGTATAATTTGATTGCTTATTAGTAACCTATGACTATCACTAAGAGTTGTATCTTATGATTCTTGATGAATGTATTCTATTTTATTTTTCTTTATGTACCCTGAGAGCATCTGCACCAAAGACAAATTCCTTGTATGTCCAATCACACTTGGCCAATAAAGAATTCTATTCTATTCTATTCTATTCTATTCTATTCTATTCTATTCTATTCTATTCTATTCTAACCCCCATTTTATTCTATTCTGTTCTGTT